AGTGAAAATAAAAGTATTAATTATAGGTCACATTGCAATTTACGTACCTTTATTGTGTATGTAATGTTGATTATAGCAGCTTAACTATAATTTATTAGACATTATAACAGTTTTTAGCAGACACGTGCAAAACTTTGCAGATAGTCGAAAGAAAAAATATTAGAAATATTTATAATATTGTTATTTTGAACGGTGTACTCATATGAACTACTGTAAATATTGATTATCTTTAAGAATGACTATAAAAATGCACTATTTATCGATTGTTGGAGAAATTATGGCCTATGACCATCTTTTCCGTATGATCATAATACCCTAGTTTACTCTATGTGGTAGCTTATGGTATCCTGATCAAAAGTCTCAATGGGCACGTGGTCCTAAAATCTATAGGTTCTAAGATATTGGAGTTCAAAGGTCGATAATGAAGATATAGCTACTTTTAAATAATATTAGGTACTTTTTGCCAGTTATGTGTAGAATGATGAAAGTAAGAATCGATCCAGCAAATGAAATTGAATCCTAAACCCATAAACCTTAAACCCATAGATCCATACTGTATATTAAAAAGTGATGTAGCAACATGTTACTTTTCATAATAATCGATATGAGGCCATATCGACCTTTGAGCTCCAATATCTCTGTTGATTTTAGGACCATGTGCCCATTGAGACTTTCGATCAGGACACCATAAACTATCACATACAAAATTTTCAGCCATTTTGACCGAAAGTACTTTCCCATAAGAAAACTGCGGAGTCCTTTGTAGATTTATAAAAAAAACCGAAATAAAATTTCGTGAAACTTTGATTTTTCTAAAGATATAGTCAGAGATTCTAAAAACTATAAAATAATTTTTTCCACGAATTTACAACAATGTAATTAATATGGATTTTATCATAACTGTAGAATATCTAAAACATGCTTTAAATGTCTATTCCTCCGTGAATAAATATATTTTTACGCATTTATTTTTGTTTATTAACTAAAAGGACAAAGTCTAAATATTTTTTACCTCATCATTTTTAATCGTGAAGTATCATTAAGCGTCAATAATAACTCTGTCGTAATTGTTGAACTAATATCAAAAGAGAGAATGATCCTTGCGCGTGACTCGATTTTTTTCAGTCCAGAGTTCTAAAAACTGTGTGAAAAATATTTTCCACAAATTTCGAATGATATAAGAACAAATGATTAATAAAACATTTTATAACTGGCAGAATTTGACGTACTATGTATTCTCTCCGTGATTAAATACGTTTCCATGCATTTCTTCCTACTATTTTCATGTTGAAAAAACAGGGATTGAATCTCTTCTACCTCATTATTTTTAATTAAAGCATGATTAAATGTCAGTAATAATCCTATTGTAATTGTTAAACTAATATGCAAAGACATAAGTCTCTTGCGAGACTTCTCGATTTTTTCACAGGTTCCTCGGAATTTTGAAAACTGTATTAAAAATTTTTCTAGAAATTTAAAATGATAAATTATTAATATGACATTTTATCATAACTGGTGCAGAATTTGGACGCACTATAGATATTCTCTCCACGAATAAATACGTTGCTGCATGGAAAGAACGATTTTGCAGAAGTATCGAAAAATTTAGATGAATATAACAGATCTGAATATAATTTTATTGAACCATCAAATTAATTATGTAAAAAACTCAAGCATAATTAGTAAGGTTGCAAAAAGTTCTAATATTTTAGCAATCAAATATTACCGTCCTTCATAATTATTTTGATGATTGGATAAAATTATTTTCAGATTCTGTACCTAGTTAAATTTTTAGATAATTTAACCAAACTGTTCTTCCTATTATGCGCATTTATCCTTATTGCTTTCATTCTGGGACGACAAGAAGTAAATCTCATCTACCTCATTATTTTCAAAGCATGATTAAAGTCAATAACAATTCCATCATAATTGTTAAACCTAACCAATAACTTGCGACATTTAATTTTTCTACTGAAAACTGTTAAACATTTTTTCCCCATAAATTTCGAACATATGACATGGTAATGTAACACTATCGTAATTGCAGAATTTAAACGAGCTTTATTATATGCTTCTTCAGTGAATAAATACGTTTTTACGTGTTTATTCCTACTGTTTTCAATCTTAAAGGACAGGAACTAATACTCTACCTCCGTCATTTTTAATCGCGAGGCACGGTTAAACGCTAGTAATAATCCCACCATAATTGTTAAACGTAATATGCAAAGAGAGAACCTCGGTGTAACGAGTTACATCGTTTTACCGTTCATATTACAGCGTGTCTGAAATATTGAAGTGCCCTGGTAACGGCGGTACCGAGAGAGAGAGAAGAGACCGCGTAAAATCCTTTGAAAGTTCCTGCCCCCGGCGGAATTAGCGTTACTTAAGTAAATTGCGAAAGGGCGGGAAGAATTAAAGTGCGATCGGTTAGGTGAGCAAAAAGGAGAAGGAGGGCACGGAAGGATAGGGCAAAAAAAAAGGAGAAAAAGACGGGAGGACGCAGCTCATTAAGCCTCAACTAGATCGAGGCTCCTATTTACGCGAGCTCTTCTGCTGTAGAATGTCCTTGCAGGAATAAAACGACATCGCCGTCGTCTTTTGTGTCTGCGAAAATTTTCCTTTTCCTCCCATCTTCTCCCATTTCCTTCCTTGCTCTTAAAAGGATTAGAATTCGGTGGAATTTTCTACCTTCGAAAGATTTTTCTTGGAAAATCCTCGATCCCGGATTCCTGTCTCGTGGAATTCTCATTGGCTGCTTTGAAAAAAATCAGAATCAGGTTCGGAATCACGACTTCGTAACTCCATGAAATCTAAAATTCTACGACCTTAAGATTATCCAACGGGAAAAACCAACAGCTGTAATTCGATTTTCCAGAATTGGTATTTTCAATTCTCTCCTACTTTTGTCTTTAGACGAATTTTTATGAATTCGTTATTATGATTTTATTTCTTATTCTCATTCTGTTGGTGTGTGTGTGTGTATGTGTGTGTTAGAGACGGCACGCTGAAATTATACAGCCGCGAAACAAAGGCCATTGCGTTTTCTCAGCTACAAGATTATCCTCCCGGGTCTCGTGCACTTTTAAGATAAGCAATTCCATAAAAAACTCACCTCTTTCAATTTGCAATACATAAGACCCCGAGACGACGCAGTTGGGGAAACAAGGGGATGAAAACTGGAGGGGTATCTTGAAGTGCGAACGCCTAGGAGTGGATTCCCACGGGGCTCGCGCCGCTATCAGCATATTATTTAAACAAATTGAGGTAACGACGAGACGGGAATGGGAACGAGAAGAAAAGAAAGCCGGAAGGATTAAGATGGCGATCGGCGTGAGAAGGGGAGGTAGAAAATACGAAAAAAAAAAGAGATCAAGGAACAGCCACTTTAATTTCCTTGCCGGAGCCTGGCGGTACTTTTCACGGTAATTAAGAGTTGCAATTAAGTGGACGAAAAAACGTCGCTGATAATTACCTAGACAGCACCCTCTCCCTCCCCCCCAGCCCCCTCCATGCCGTGGCGAATTTGTAGTCGCAAAAAAAAGGCGAACGAGCGGCGAAAAGGATAAAGAGGATGGAGTGAGGATCTTTGGCTCATCAGGATCCCCTTAGTCTTGGGATTAGGGAAAAATCCTGGCGATCCATGCGACTTCGAATTTTATGTCAAACCGTATCCTTGTCTTTAAACAACGAGATTTCGTTTTAAGGACCTCTAAATTATAGGAAAGCCTGGGAACGTAAGTCTACGGTACGTAAAGTCTTAGACGGAGAAAATTAAATTCTGGCCCTTGACGCTTCCCGGAAGATTTTCGGGAATTTCGGGTCGGTGAATTTCTCTGTTCCGTGAAAGTGTATTTTTATTTTTAAATCGTAAGGCTCCTCGCGTCTTAGAACACTCACGGGAATAAAATGAGAATTCTCACGAGGCTAAGAAAGGATCAAGCTCGAGTTTGAGAAGTTGAACGCCAACGTCCTTGACTTTATGGAATCTTTAAACTCTTGGGAAGTACGAGTGGAGTTCTGGGATTTACAGATCTTCAAGCTTCGATCTTCAAATTTCCACGGAAATCTAAGATATCCGCAGCTCGAGGGTAATTTCTTACTGCAATCGCTGAGTGGGGCGGAGTTATTTATGATTTGTGAACTCACCGCTTTCCTCGAGGCGACCGAACTTGTCTCTGCAAAACAGTGCAAGTGGCAGCCAGCAACGCGCGTAAAATGCGCCAGCTGATAGTAACAGCACGAGAACGAGGACTGCCAGCAGAAGAGACTTCCGCCAAGATCCATTCGGAAGGCTCAATACGAACTGTGGCTCTGTGAATCAAAGAAAGAAATGTCGAGATGTTGTATGAAAAACAAAGTAATAAAAACATGCGACTGTGTGTAAATATAAAAAGAAGGTGACGTGATTCGAAAGAGATAATTTGGAGTTTTTATGCTTAAACAAAAAACAAAATTTATAAATTTATTTTAGGAAGAGAAATAGATAAATGAATACAGTTCTCCATTTAGTTACTCATTATTATCATATATAAAATGTAAAAAATTAATTTGTAATACAAAATTTATTAAAAATGTAAGAGTTTTTGTGTCACCGAAGACAGGCCTAAAAATTCCGAGTTTTATCACGATTTCGTGACTTCCAAGAAAGCAATCTATTAGTTCTCCATCTAGTTATTCTCTTCGAATACTTCGCTCTATAGATTAAACCTAAAATGTACCATTAGAAAAACTTTATTACAAAATGGTAACAACACAAACATAAAACTCTAATCCTTACATAAAATTGACGTTATTTATGTGTCATCAATAAAGTGTATGCATGGACGCAGCGGGTTCCGTCCTCCTCCACGAGAGGAGGCTGCATTACCGATTTACTAGACACATAGGTGTGAGTTGAACCTCGTTTCGCGTGGAAAATTGTAAACCCACACGAAGTGAGGTTTCACATGGATTTACAACTTTCCACTCGAGGCGAGGTTCAACCTAAACCTATGTGTTTAGGGTTTTGGTAGCGAAGCCGCCCCCGTAGGGAAGGTGGGATCCATTGCGTCCACGCATACACTTTACAGCGCGAAGTAAAGTTCATATGGATTTACAACTTACTGTGTTTACTTTCTAAATGTAATGATATTTATTTTATTAATAACATTTGAATAAATAATGAAACGAAAATCGTCCGAAAGTCAATCATTGCAGATGATAACCTTGATGACACGTATTAAGATCGAGATCATCGGAGTTTGTCCTCTGAGATGATGATTTACTATTAAAATTATATATTAATTTTAAATATCTCAGAAATTATGACAAAGTTGCTACAAAGCTAGAAATCCGGGAATATTAGGGAAATTGAAAATAGGGAAATCAGGAGAAATTTTTAAGTCAAAGAATTTTGCAAAATTTTCTGGAAAACTAAAATTTTTAGCTTTAAAGAAGTTTAATATAGGTATCTGTAGATTATACACGCATTTTACACAGTTTTGAAATACTATCAATTTAACAATTAAATGCAAGCAGTGTCAGCAACATTAATGGTAATTTACATTGCTAAGTTAAATTACTCTTTTAATAAAAGATAGATATGACAGCTTTTAAATCACGAAAATGCAAGAAATTTCGAAATATTATTGAAAGCTTGAGAGAAAGTCATGAAATTTTATCTGAAAATCAGGGAAAAGTTATGGAATTTGAAGAATTTGTAATAATCCTGTATAAGAGACCGATATCTAGTTGTAGACAAAGTTACTCAGTATTATGATCTTGACAACATATGTTAAGGTTATCGAAGTATTTCCGTAATCTGTATAATTATCAATAAATCTTGATATAAAAGGACAGTTTAAAAGGAATAAAAAAATAAATATATGTATATTCAAACTAAAATAAATTGAAATTATTTTTGAGAACATTGGAAACGTTTGATTAAATAAATCCTAATAAAAGGGTTTAATCCCAAAATGTTTTAACTTGATAAAAAAAAATACAAATAGACTATCGTGCAAAAGATAAAAGAGATATTGCTTTCTTTTTATCGCAAAATAATATCAGGTAGCAATAATAGAGTATAAATGTACGCGATATTAAATTTTATGATGAATTAAATCTGTCAATGAGTCCAATTTAAAAACAAGATTTTATCGTGGTTTTGTAACAATTTGTCCAAGAAACTAATGTGTTGTATAATAATTAAAACCGATAAAGTGAATCGTCGGCACGCGCGGTTTGCTAGTTGGCTGATATGTTTCCCGGACATTTCCACTAATTATTAAAATGAATCCGACACAGACCTGTTTTTATACGCAAACAATAAAGCATTCAGACTGATTGAATGCGTTTTGCGTCAAGTCATAATTAACAATTGCAGCCGGTAAACAAGCTGAATTATTTAATCCGGTGTATTTCAAATCTGATTCGTATGAAAAGCTTTCAGAATTTCGATATAGAATTAAATTCAAAAATAAAATAGTAACTGCTGGATTAAAAACTCCGAAAATTAACGTTCAATGATACGTAACACAAAAAGTAAAATATTGAATTAATGTTGAGATAAAACAAATCAATGTAACAATATTCTATTCTGTTTTCACTCAAAGTCGTAGTTTTACAACGATAGAGATGAACTGATGAGTGATTTCGGATGGTTTTTCGGACCTTGCCGGTACACGTGAGCAGCCAATGTCATCTCCTCGTCGACGCCGTTGCTGACTTCGCATTTGTATTCGCCATAATCCTCGAGAGTGACGTCCCCGATTTCCAAATAGGAACCGATTATTTGATCTTTCTCCCTGCAAACAGAAACGCGAATAAATACAATTAATAATGGAATTTAATAACAAGTCCCGCACGGACTTGGAAGAAAACAGGACATTACCTCTAAAAGAGAATTCCTTAAAGAAAAATAATGTTTAAGTCATTCAAAAAAAATAAAAATTTTTTAAGGAAAAATAAAAGAGATATCTGCATGAGAAATTTGAAAGGAAATTTTGATACGTTTATTTTGTATCCCATTAATCTTAATGTTGATCAATTGTTTAAAAACTTCGGGTCTCTTCGGACTCAGAAAACTTTAAAAACTGCCGAGAGTCTGGACTGTTATTTTTGTTAAAAACTTTAAACTGAAAGTATTTCCGCACCAAAGGAAATCGTTATATCCAGCCCTCGATTTTCAATTAATCAAACTCAAAAATTTCTTTTAGAATTTAATTGCCAAGATATTTAACAATAAGGATAAAACCGTCACGAGGGACTAAACTTTAACAAAAAGAGAACCGTCTCCAAATCTCCAAGGACTCTAATGGTCTAAAGATTCTTCCAAGAGTCCAGGGATCTCCCTGGCAATCTATCAGTGTACATGGAAAAAAAAAACAGAGCATGTAGGCCGTTTCCCAATTTATTAAAAAATAAAAGAAAATTCGTCATAAACGTTTAAATGTTCGCACGACGTAAATTGAGTATACCGATGTTGATCGCGCATCCTGAGTTCTTTAAATCTTCGCTACATCTCGCATGAATATCGCAGTGCGAAAAAAGGCGCGATATTATTGCGCTTTTTTCCCCATTCGCGTTTCGCAATCCGGAATGCATTGAAGCGCGTGTGTTCCGTGTCGCGCGGAACTCTTTCTTTTTTTTTCGAACGATTGTCACACGGATGGACAACCCCCTCCCTGCAGCGCGGAATAAAAAAAAACAAAGGTTCACATTTCATTCGATGGTTCGCGGTGTGCAACGAAAGCCGCGAAAGAGTGCGAGGTTCACCGCCGTCCACCCGCCGGCTGTGCCGGTTACACAATCGTTTAACGCACGAAACATTTCGCCGTGCTAATTTAATTACGAGCACGGTCGGCCCGGCAACGACTTACCCGCACAATTAATTCTCACCGCGTAATTTCATTCATTCGGCCCGTCCGCCAGTTTCGCCTGCGGCGCAACAAAGACGAAACATGGATGTGGCAAACAAATAAATTCGGCGTTTCGGAATGAGCGGGTGGACGAAGCGAGAAGCACGGTGCCTGATGGAAATAGGCGCGTTTCGTGAAAAATAGAGAGAGAGAGAGAGAGGGAGAGGGAGTTTATCACACTGAAAGAAAAGATTGGTTGCTGCAACAAATTAGACGG